CCTCGAGCCTCGCGAATTTATAGCATGCCATCTCTCACCCGGAGTCGCTTCGGCTTTTGTGTGCTACCTTCGAGAAACGGCCACGTGTAAACAATGACGGTATTTTCCGGCAGCAGACAGGTTGTTCCCGTCGATTACGACGCCGAAGTTTCTCAGCGCCTGCTCGAAGCTTCTTTAATCGGCGATCTGAGGTCCGCTCTCGAATGCATCTGCGAACCAGTCGTTGACGTCAACTTCGTCGGCGCCGTTCGCTTGAAAACAAGGAAGACCGAAGTCGTTTTGAGAGAAGAGTCGCCGAGTGAGGTTCGCGTCGAGTACGAGGAGTTTACGACTGACGTCACCGCTCTTTTTCTCGCTGTTCACGTCGGAAATGTCGCTCTCGTAAAGAAACTCTTGGTAATGTAATCCAAAACTTCGGTTTTGTTTACTTTCATTTTCTGTTTTGTTTAACGTTTTGATTCAAACGGTTCCATTCATATCGCGGGTTTACATCCATTTTTCTTAGTTTTGGTTATCAAGTTGATTTGTTTCTCCATTTTTACTTGAAATTTAATTTTTGTAAAAACCATTTTCGTAGTCATACTAATTTTTAATCATTTTTTAAATTCATCTTAATATTTATTTTAAGTTTAATTTTTTAATATTATACAAATCAGTATCTTATCTCTCAGCATCACGTTTTAATCTAACAGATGTTGTTTCTCAAATTTTCATTTTTAAAGTCAGTTTCACTCTTGGCTACGGGGAGAAAGTTACGGAAGTTAAATATACTCACTTTAAAATTAATTTTTTCAAATTCAAATTTCAACCGAATATTTTGTAATTTTCTAATTTTTCAAAGTGCTAAAAGTATTTTAAATTAAAAATTGCTCGTAATTTTTGTTCTTTAATTATTGAGTTTTCTGATCTTTACGTTTGTTGAATTTTATTTTATTTATTTTTAAAATTTTTAAATTTATGAAGCTAAGGTTACATCTTACATTTTCTTAAAACATAATCTTCGGAAATTAATCTTCTATTATACTTAAATTTTTTTCCATATATTTAGAGATTCAATGTCTTCTTGGTAATTTATTATTTTTCCTTGTCTGCGAAATTAAATTTATAATTTTTTTTATTTTTTACCAAATATAGAGTTATTATTAAAATAATAACAAAAATTTTATATAGAGTCAAGTAAGCGTTTTTTTTTTGATGTGTCAAGTAAGTTTCTTAGTTCAGTATAATAATATCATTTGTTTTTTTTTGATTTTAATCTCTACCGAGAATCCTGTTTTAGCGGCCCCCTAAATTATATCTTGAAAACGAAACACTAAATTTATTGCTTTATTTATGATAAGTAAATGCATTAAAGAGAAATCTTCGTAATGATATTGCTATCTTATCGTTTATGGTTATAAGGCATCAATTTTTTTTTTGTTCATTTAAAAAGGGCTTATGTTGTATTCTTCTTTTTGGAGAGTTGTTATTTTAGGAGATATTAAATTATCTTAGTTTTTTTCGATAAACTTAACTGTTCTCAGCTTTTGTGTTGGTTAAATTCGATGATATTTTCTAATGATTTTTTTTAATGATTTTGATGGAATAGTTGAGTTCAAAGAAAACAGATGATAGAGAAATATAAATATATAATATCATTACTTTAAATTATATGCGTGAAATTCAATTACCCTTTCCTCTTTTAATGGAAAAAATATAGTTTTCTTTCTTTTCTAACCCAATATAAATTTTCTTATTGCATAACATAGTTATAATTTTTAAAGTAAACTGAAGATAAGAGAAGTTTATTGCCTAACATATTTATTTAAATGAAACATGATCTGCAAGTCCCATATTGAGTTGTCACCGATCGTTGACCTGAGTTTGAAGTACGAAACAATACACATATATATCTCATATTTAATTGAAATCATCATGCAAAAAATCATTGTTGTTGCTATCTTTTGTCTGTTTGTAACTGTGTGATTTATTTTATCTATCGAACAATCCAAAATACTTTCAATGCTAGTTGTTTTATTTTCTTCTTACGGGCCACTGTAGATTTTAAGAAAAGGGGAGTAAGAAAAGAAAATACAGCGAGTATTATGCAATGTTGCTCCCTTTTAGGTCAAAGTACGAGGATGATTGTAAAATTAACTGCAAAAAGCTGTCTATAGTTTAGATTCCTTTTACCAACTTAAACCATCGATATGGTGAAAGTATCTTTTTATATGACAGAGCGTCGGAGCTGATGTGAATCAGAAACTCTTCAAGGGCTTTGCAACAACAGTAGCAGTCAGAGAGGGTCACCTTGAGATTCTGAAAATCTTGCTTAAAGCTGGGGCGTCTCAGCCAGCTTGCGAAGAAGCTCTTCTGGAGGCAAGCTGCCATGGACAAGCAAGGTTTGCCGAACTGCTCATGGGGTCTGATCTAATTCGGCCACATGTTGCTATTCATGCTCTCGTCACAGCCTGTTGCAGGGGATTTGTGGAAGTGGTGAACATTCTCATGAAGGTAAATCTATCATACCCATTAATCTTGTGCACCGTGCAACCGCCTAGCAGTTAGTTTACACAAGTAAAGTGATAAAATCCATTCTAATATAACATCGTGGGCCACTTCAATAGTTTGAACCATTACAATGTCTTGTAATTCTTTCTTTTAGCTGCTATTAGCATTGTCTGCTTTCACTCTAATGTCTTTTTGTAAGTTGGGTGTTTAACCTTGCTGCACTTGGTGCTGATTTAGCCAATAACTCCATGCTGGTCTTATTTCCTGGACCAATACATTTTCATATCTTGATGTAATTCTGAATAATAGTTGCTTATGTTAGATTCACCTTGATAATCTTATAACCTCCTACTTAATAACAGTTCGGTGTTGATGCGAATGAAAGTCACAGGCAGCTGCTTCAGTCATCTAAACCTTCTTTATACACAAATGTTGACTGCACTGCACTTGTTGCTGCTGTGGTTAGTCGGCAGGTTGCAGTCGTTCGCTTGCTTCTACAGGTGATTAACACAAATTCCCCAAAACTCTAAATAAATGTAAAATAGGCACTAAATGTCTTTTGGATGTACAAGCTTAATCTCAAAGCTTTTTCTATGATTGGAATCTAAATAATTCGAATATTTTAATAATAGTTGCATCACATCTGGATCTGGTAATCTCTATGGTACTTTGTTTCCCTCAAGATATTATTTCCCCCCATAAATCACCTAAGAGAGTTTAAAGAGTTGCATCAAAGAATGCATAACATGCTTTGAATAATCCTTTTGTTATTATTATTTGTTCTCGCCATATAAACCACTTTGGCTCATTAACAGGCTGGGATTCCAACTGACATGAAAGTAAGTCTTGGAGCATGGTCATGGGACACTACTACAGGTGAAGAGTTCGAGTGGGTGCAGGACTGGCTGAGCCCTATGCAATCAGTTGGTGTGCTGTAGAATATTTTGAAGATAGTGGTGCCATCTTGCGCATGCTCCTTCAGCACTTCACCCTCGAGACACCTCACTATGGAAGAACCCTCCTGCACCATGCAATCCTTTGTGGCAGTACAGGAGCGGTCAAAGTGCTTTTGAGCTGTGGTGCAAATGCAGAATGCCCAGTTAAAACCTTGAAAACCGAGTTCCGGCCACTACACTGGCTGCTCGTCTTGGTTTGTCAGAAACCCTTCAATCCCTCATTGATTTGGGTTGTGATATAAACTCCAAGACTGACTCTGGTGACACAGCTTTGATGATTTGTGCAAAGTACAAGCATGAAGAATGTCTCAAAGTGTTGACCAGGGCTAGAGCAGACTTTGGCTTAGTTAACGTCGCTGGTCAGTCAGCTAGTTCGATTGCCGGTTCAAACCGATGGTTCCTTAGGTTTCAGCAAGCAGTGCTGGACGTAATCAAGGGTCTAAGGATACCAAAGTCGAGCAATGTATCAGTTTTCTCTCCATTGATGATTGTTGCCGAAACTGGTGATGTTGAGGCTCTAAAAGCTCTGATTGGAAGCAGAGAAGTTGATCTTGATTATCAGAATGAGAATGGTTTCTCAGCAATCATGATTGCCGCCTTGAAAGGTCATGTTGAAGCATTCCGGCTGCTAGCTTATGCCGGAGCTGATGTTAAGCTGTTAAATAAATCCGGTGAGACAGCAATTGCATTGTCTGAACTGAACCAGAACCGTGATCTGTTTGAGAAGGTGATGCTTGAATTGGCACTTGAAAAAGGCAACCAAAATGCTGGAGGCTTCTATGCTTTGCATTGCGCAGCACGCTACGGAGATTTGGATGCTGTTATGTTATTGACGAGCAGGGGGTATGCTGTAAATGTCCCCGATGGAGATGGATACACCCCACTTATGTTGGCAGCTAGGGAAGGTCATGGACCCATGTGTGAGCTCTTAATCTCAAACGGGGCAAATTGTGATTTCAAGAATGCTAAAGAGGAAACCGCACTTTCTCTAGCTCGAAAAACCACTGTCTTCAAAAATGATGCAGAACGTGTGATTTTAGATGAGCTCGCTCGCAACCTTGTTCTCGGTGGTGCCCGTGTCCTGAAGCATACCAAGGGAGGAAAGGGAAATCCTCACTGGAAAGACATGAAAATGGTGTGGAATTCCGGATTGCTGCATTGGGGAAAGTCAAGTCGACGAAATGTTATATGCCGGGAGGCAGAATTGGGACCAAGTGCAGCCTTTGAAAGGAACCGGCACAGCAAGGGTGATGTGAACGGACCTGGAATATTCAGAGTGGTGACCACCAAGAACAAAGAGATTCATTTTGTTTGTGAAGGCGGGTCTGAAATGGCCGAGTTATGGGTGAGAGGAATAAAGCTTATAACAAGAGGCTATTTTCGGTAGCCAAAGATAGTAGAGATGAGTTAGTTTGGGTTTTAGATGATTGTATAGATGCTTGGAGTCTTAAATTTCGTACTTTAAAGTAGTAGGAGTTCATCGTATTTCGCTGTAAAGGTTTTGGTCTCAGCTTACTAAATGTTGTCATCTAAAGATGAATAAAGCTTAAACTGTTGAGAATTTCATCCGAGTTTACTGCTCGCAAAGGTTCGACCTCCAAAGAACAAAACTAATAACACAGTAAGTTCCATTACTGGATATGAAAGCAGAGAGTACAGCAAAACATAAAAAATCAGCACAGCTGCTAGAAACCAGAAATTACAATAGTCTGTCAATGTTGATCTTTCCCAACCGACAGTGGCTCAACATGAAAGTGTTGATGGTTGAGACGCTTCAAGTATATCATACTCCATGCAAATGAAAAATTTGGGTGTACTGAACATCTAATCACTTGATGATCCTCCATCGTCCTGATCCTCATGCTCGGTAACAATTTTTTCGATAAACCGCCTTCGAACTCCTTCAAGAACAGCTTTCTGAGACCGCTCACCGACACTTTGACCGTCATTTAGTACAGGATCTGATTGACAGAGAACTAAGGCCACACCTATATTTTAACAGAAAACAAAATTTCAATCCAAAACACATGGTAGTGTTGGGACAGAAGCTCATGAACAACATCCAAAGCATTAGAAAAAGGAAAAGAGAAAAGGAGCAAATCCCTTCATCGATAGCATACCTTCGGGCGTGCATCGCCGGCCAAAACTATACAAGCCGACATAATTTGCTTTGACTGCTCCACTGTTGTACACCAAGAGAGTCGGAAGATTACAATCTGGGTAGTTAGGAATGCACTCGGTAGATATTATCTTCACAAACTTTGTGGCTGGGTATTTAACAGCCAATTCTTCCAAGCACCGCAGAAGCACCGTGCAGTCTGGAAATCTAACAAGAGATACCAATAAAGCAAGAATAATGAATACACACATTTTTCAATGAACATGAGCATGAACATTTATTCGAATTACATATCGGACAAAGAAAGGAACATCTATGTAATATAGAACAGAGAAAGGGGAAAATGGTATGATTTGATTAGATCAAGTGTTGCAAAAATGAAAATTCATACAAGCCACTTCAAACATGAAGCAGGAGGCACTGAATATTGTACTAAACATATAACATCCTATCAACAAACCTAAAAAGGGAACAAAAGTTGTTAATGTATCATGTATACATAATAAAAGGAAACAAAACTGTCACAGATTAGATGACTGATAATTGTATAGGAAGCAAGTAATATCAAAGGTAAAATAATACCCTTCTTTGTAGAGGAGGACAACCACCCAGACATCCTGAGGAGCTTGTGAAACCTCTTGTACGAAACCGGATCCCGAAATCTGCATCACTGATCCATACTTTGAAACCTTAGCTGCTTCCCTCATCTCAGCTAGCCTCCTCTTTCTATATAACCAACACCATTCTTCCAATAAAATGCACAAACATAGATACCAATGAACATTCATGTTACTCAAACTCAGTGTGAGAGCCGGATTCAAATATATGTTCGACACAAATATGTTTAATTTTTTAATGTATTTGGAAAGATCCGGAGCAAATGAAAATTCAGTAACAAGGCAAACGTTCCAGCTTGATTAAATCATGAATTTGATGCAATCTGAAGAAAATAATAATTAGCCTTAAAGTTTATCAGAAGTTCACTATTTTTATTCATTTTACAAGATCTCGAACGTGAGAACTTCCCTTTCAGCTATAAATTGTTATCCAGTTAAGCTAAACTACATTTTAAATCAATAAAAAACATCTCTAAACCCAATAATCAAAACCTGTATTCTTCAAGGAATCGATCATCATCAAGATCATCTTCGAGATCTTCAAGTTCTTCTTCAGTTTTTTGATCGATCCAAGACTTGTCCTTGGGGGCAGAATCCGGGTCCGCTGCGGGTTCAAAAGGAGGCGGCTTGAAAGCAGGTGGTTTTGGGGGTAAATTGCCAAGCTTTCTTTGAATATCGTCCCATTGAGTGGAAGCTCCTTCTACATCTTTGTAAACGAAATGGTAATCCGCCATTACTTGAACTCTATTTTCCTTCGATCCTCCTTTCTCCCTCGTCTCTCAGCTTCCAATTCTAAATGTCGGAATAAAAACGTAATATGAATATAAAGTACTGATTCTGGCAATCAATACGGGCCCAAGTAGGAAGGTCTAATATTCGAAGTTGACAATTGTGTTTCTTATTTCAGCCCAATGGGGGCAAAGTCCAATATATCTGGGTAAATGGCAACACAAGTATAGAATGTTGGATACATCATGAAAAAGATAATGAAAGTAATTTTATTATGCATGTAATTAAATACCGATTTTATTAGTAAATCGGTTCATGAACTATACTCAAATTTCACATTGGTTCTTAAATATTTTCTTAAAATGATGTAAAATTTTATATCAGAGGTGAATTTCTAAAATTTCAAAAGTAGATAAAATTATAAAATTCTAAAGGTTAAAGATAGATTATCAACATAAAATATAAAAAAAATATTTGATAATTTAAAATATTCAGGAGAGACAATACCTCCGACCTCTATCGATCCATCCATAATTAGAAGCGTATCTAGGGATGGCAACGGGCCGGGTTCGGGCCGGGTATTGGTCCCCCCATCCCCGTCCCCGTTTAAAAAACCGATACCCGTCCCCGTTTAAAAAACCGTGGGGATTTAAACGGGGATCCCTGTCGGGTAATCGGGGAAAATCGCGGGGAAACGGGTATCCCCGTTTAGCATAAACGGTTATTTAAACGGGTATTGGGCCGAGTATTGGGTCTGGTATTGGGCCGAGAATCGGGCCGGGTATATATATATATATTTAAATTAAATATATAAATATATATTTTTTATTTAAATTAAATTTATTAATATTATATATATATATATATATATAAATAATTATTTTTAATATTTATCGGGGCGGGTAATCAGGTAATCGGGGCGGGGATTACCAAACCCGTCCCCGTCCCCGTTTAAAATAAATGGGTTTTCCCCGTCCCCGTTTATCATCCCCAAAACCGACCGGTTTAATTCGGTTTTCGGTTTTCCCCATCGAGTTCGGGTTTTTTTGCCATCCCTAAGCGTATCCCCTCAATACATCATTAATTAGAAATGTACGTGTCATGTTCATATTTTTAATAATTTTTTTAATAATTTTTTTTGGATAAATCAAGAATAAAATAATAATTCAGTTGTCACTTTCGACAAATAATAATAATAATAATTAAAGACCAATAAAAAAATAGAGTATATTTAAAGGGCCTATTTATAATAAAGCCCTAAATGTTCTCCATTCAAAAAAGAGAAGTCCGTTTTTACAGTTTAGCCCATAGTTTTCTCTTTCCGTTCTAATAGTTAGCTTTGACTGCATTTTTTTTAAGATAAAATCGCCTCAGTGACCAAAAATGCCTTATAATATACGATTTTAACCAACTTTTTTTGGATTTGCCAAAATGACCAACAAAATCGCAACGCGAAATAAAAATCGCAACGCGATCCCCAGAATCGCAAATCAGTTTCCAAAATCGCAACGCGATTCTTGACAATCGCAATGCGATAGTACAAATTCGCATTGCGATTTTCAAGAATCGCAACGCGAATATGAAAATCGCAACGCGAACACATAAATTGCAACGTGTATCCGTAAATAGCAACGCGTATCCGTAAATCGCAATACGTATCCGTATATCGCAACGCGTATCCGTAAATCGCAACGACAATACGTAAAATCGCAACGCGTATCCGTAAATCGCAACGCGATTTTTAAAGCGCCATTATAATCGCTACGAGTATTTTATTTTCAAATTACAAAAACGAATATTAAGACAAAATCCCGTAATCGCAACTCATAACCTAAAACCTAAAATCACAACTCAGTCCCATCTCCATCTCTCACTCTCTACGGCGAAATCCGTCCCCATCTCCGAAGATTTCCGTCCCCATCTCCGGCGAAATCCCTCACAACCATTCACGGTCAGAAATCCCTCACAATATTCAGAAATGGAAAATCAACCTCCGAGGGTTAGTTTTTTTAATTATTTTTATTTTGAAATTTTTGCATTATTGTAGGTTTTTCATATTGAAACTGATGATAAGTTTACTGGTCATTTCAATAATAGATTAACCATTTCACTTAGATTTCATTTCGCGTTACAATTCTCTCGTTGCGATTTTCATTTCGCGTTGCTATTCTCTCGTTGCGATTTTCAAGTTAGTATTTGTCTTTGTCTTTGTTCTGTCTTTTGGTTGAAGTAATGCAATCCATTCAAGTTTCAATTTGCAGAAGAGTCGCAACGAGATAAATGAAAATCGCAACGTGAAAATGACTATCTGCAACGAGAAAACTGAAAATCGCAACGCGAAACCAAAATCGCATTGCGATTTTCATTTCGCGTTGCGATTTTCATTTCGCGTTGCGATTCTCTCGTTGCGATTTTCATTTCTCTCGTTGCGACAGTCATTCTCTCGTTGCGATTTTCATTTCAACCAAAAGACAAAACAGTGTTGCAAATTTTAGTTCAAGAATAAACTACTACTTTTTATGTTTATTGTTTTTGGTATATCTTCACAGTGTAGTTTTTGGTATATCTAACTTGGTATGTTTATTGTTTTTGTAGAAATTTTTTTCGGCTTCATTGACATTAAGGAATAAAGTTAGCCTAGCCACTACAATTGCTTCGAAGCTTTCACCTGCACAAAGACAATTGTTTGAGGAAACCTGCTTCGGGCCATGGCTGAGAGTACAGCATCCGGGTGGAGATGCTAATTTGACCCATTTGTGGCTTCAGACCATGACATCAAATCTACCCGACAGTATACAACGTGGTGAGGAAGAGATATGGTTTCATTTTCCACCAGCGTATACTTGTTTTGGGCAGAAGGAGTTCTGCTTAATCACTGGTCTACGATTCGGACACGATGATGTAGGCCGGTACACTCGTCATATCGCCCGCCCATCATGGTTATCCGGGGTTTTTCCGGATGAGTCAATGGAGAAGCCGAACCTACACGTCGACGACCTGAAGAAATTGTTTAATAAGAAAGCTGGTTTCACTCGGATGGATGACGTCGATGTTGTCCGAGTATGCCTTCTACTACTTGTGTATGCCGGCTTTTTAGGCAGAGAGGCCAGACAACCTATTCCTCGGGAGCTAATAATATTGGTAGAGGACCTGAATGCATGGAATCTGTTTCCGTGGGGTTCGTATATATGGAAAGCTACCTGGAATAAGTTGTCTACTGCCTTTGATGACCGCAAAAGTTTGCGTGGCGATGGGTCGAAATACACTTTGTCAGGCTTTGTTTGGGCCTTTAAGGTAAGAATTTCTATATAATGTTTCTAAAATTATAATTAATTATTTAACAATTACTAATTTTGTTATTATATTGTTTGTAGATTTGGATATTCGAGGCTTTCCCCAGCATGCGTACATATGCAATAAAAACGTCAAATGATATTCCCAGGGCTATTTCCTGGAAGAGGAAAAATCTGTTGGATTGGGAAGACTTAATACCATATGCGACAATAAATAATGTAAGTTAACACAAATACTTTCATATAATATATAAACAAGTTATTAATAGTAGATGTTTAACTTTGTTTGAGTTTTTATATTGTTAGGAGGCCAACATTCCATTACAAAGGCTGACACCCACGGAGGAAGAGCTTGCCACTGATTGGTGGCAAGCTAGTCAGAGTTTTTTTGATGGCACGGATGATGAGCAGCATCAACTTCCTCCAATTCGAGAGCCATCACCTCACCCAGAGCCATCACCCGATCGACCCGACTATACACCTCTAGAACGAGAGCCATCACCTATCCCGTCACATCATCGAGCCTCTTCTCCACCATCACCTCATGATAGGCGACCGGTAAAGAGGCCACGACATTTATCTCCTTGTTCTCCACCTCCACGGGATGAGTTACGTGATGAGGTCAATGCCTTGCGTGAGGAGATCGGTACTCTACGCGATAACGATGGTGCATGGCGTGTGGAGGTGTCAACTTTACGTGGTGAGGTTGCCGCTCTACGTGAGATGATAGTATCGTTGCAGAATGAGGTTCATACTCTACGCAACGAGGTAAGTTTAAGATTTTCCATATTTAACTTAATGATAAATTTACTCGTAATTTCACTTAGATTAGCCATTTCACTTGGATTGCTTAGTAAATTTATTCGGTTGCTGCCAATTCTGCTAAACTGTGTATTCTTTAACACTGTGAAATAGTATTTGTCTTTGTTTTGTCTTTTGGTTGAAAGTAAATTTGTTCGGTTGCTGCCAATTCTGCTAAACTGTGTATTCTTTAACACTGTGAAATAGTATTTGTCTTTGTTTTGTCTTTTGGTTGAAAGTAAATTTGTTCGGTTGCTGCCAATTCTGCTAAACTGTGTATTCTTTAACACTGTGAAATAGTATTTGTCTTTGTTTTGTCTTTTGGTTGAAAGTAAATTTGTTCGGTTGCTGCCAATTCTGCTAAACTAATACCCTGAAGTCAGTATTTATCTTTGTTTTGTCTATTGGTTGAAGTAATGCAATCCATTCAAGTTTCAATTTGCAGAAGAAGAAATAGTTTACTTTTGCAACACGAAACTTAAAATCGCAACGAGAGAATCGCAACGCGAAATGAAAATCGCAACGCGAAACCAAAATCGCAACGACAAAATCGCAACGCGAAACCAAAATCGCATTGCGATTTTCATTTCGCGTTGCGATTCTCTCGTTGCGATTTTCATTTCGCATTGCGATTCTGTCGTTGCGATTTTGGTTTCGCGTTGCGATTTTGGTTTCGTGTTGCGATTTTGGTTTCTCGTTGCGATTCTCATTTCGCGTTGCGATTTTAAGTTTCGTGTTGCGAAAGTAAACTATTTCTTCTTCTACAAATTGAAACTTGAATGGATTGCATTACTTCAACCAATAGACAAAACAAAGACAAATACTAACTTCAGGGTATTAGTTTGAAACATATTTTTCTTTGTTATCTGATGCATTTTGTGAACTATGATAGAATAATGACTTGGGTGAATACAATGCAAGTTTGATACATATTTGTCTTTGTTTTCACTGTTTAAATATCAT